GAACAGGAGTACAGACACCACACTCTGACGATGGAAGCGAGCACGCCTTTGAAACGTCAGTCAAAATACGCCTTGGTCCCAGAAATCGTCTGTTCTTCTTCCTCTTCCGGGGAAGATGAAAAGAATATTTTATCTGGACCTCGAATTTTTTCGCATTTTAAAGAATTTTATTTTGAAGCGATAATTTCAGCTGTGTAATTTTAGAGGAAGGCGCATTCCTTTTTTGTTTCTAGCTCTGCTGGTTGCGTCTTCCGAAGAAAAAAACGACGTTTGAATTTAACTTACCGTTCTTTGGATAACTCTGTTTCAGCGCGTGACGAATGGAAACAACGATACTATCAGGCCAAGAAGATTACGCCAGTGATCGACTGGGAACTTCAGAAGAAGCAAGGCCAACTGGACCTTGTGTTGCGGCGCACTGCGGGTCTCATTCAACAGCCCGAAGCACACACCCTCAGACAGGTGGGGCATCCATTCGCATTTGCGAACAGATTTTTGAAATCATTTAAAAAAAAAACAGCGTCAGAAAATATCATTAAAATAACTAAATGTCGTGATTGGGCAGTAACCCTTCGGGATCCACGATTGCTCATCACTGTTTGGCCAGCGCTAAGAAAAAATCGATAAAACTTTTTCGTTTTAAACTATCAGCGCCGCGTTCACCAACGAATTCCTTCGGAACTGATAAAAATTACGCAAAAAGAGACCACTGTGGGTATTTTTGTGCCTAAACAAACATCTCTGGGATGCTTTGCCAACTGACATCGCATCAGCATCAAAACGGAGAATGTGGGAGGCTGGAGAGGAATTGAAGTCATCGCGGGCGCGGGCGCGTGCGCGTGCGCCCCCAAGAATGCTTTAGATTGCGCCCGTGCGCGCATTCTTACCTTTAACTGACATGAATGCCAAATTAATCACAAAAACCTGATCCGCGGGCTGTAGCGATAAGCCTGACATTTGGGTATGCCTTGCTGCTGCTGCTGCTGCTGACCTGAGTGGAATTTCGGTAAAAATGACAGCTACGCAGTAGGGGGGGGATGAAGGCATTTGGTGCTACTGTCCTTTAGCGCACAGAGTTTTACGATCCTTTGCGAGGAATAAAGTGGAAAGTGTGGATGGAAAATTACCGTAGTCGGCCGGTAGCGAACAACGCAAATCAGCCGCCGTAATTTGGGAAGCCACAAACACCGTGGTAGCAAGGCACATCAGTTTCGTAAAAGTGAACGGTAAAAGGTTCGCACAGCCCAGGGACTAATCCTGTGCAGATAAAACACGAGTAAGGATTGCTTAGATGAATCTCTAACCGGGATACGGGAGTAGGAACGCCTCGCCCAAGTAAAAAAGGGGCTCTACACATAATTCTAGGAAGGGGTAATTATTATCGTGCCTTTATCCTAACATAGGCCTGAACCGTAGCCTTGGTCTAACCATATTGGTGCTAACCTTAGCCCTGGAATGAAGAACAGCCCTAAAGTTAACCCTAACTGTAAACCCAACGCGATTTTTCTTGAACTGTGACACAAAGACACGTGTATTGCGGATAGTTACTGTTCGCATTTCCTGTCTAGGCGACTATATGAGTCATCCTTATAAGATATGCTTGTTTTTTAGGTTAAGTCGACTTTTTACCTTTTATGAGAAGGGCACACGATTCTTTTTGGTAAGATTTGGGAATTGGAGCTCCCCCATACTCCAGAAAGCTTGCATTAATTTCCAGGTTTGGAGTAGGTTCGAATTTAGGATTTGGGGTATGACAAAGTGTGGTATCGAGTTACAGCTCGAGTCGGAGTTATGTATAGGGTTAAGGTTTTGGCTAGGGGGGACGTCAGGTTTGCAGTTAGGACGGCAGGGTCTCAACAGTGTGTGTGTGCTAAGAGCAACAGGCCAAATTCCGAGTTGCGGGTAGAAGACATCAGAATGAAGGATTAGAAAAGAAGACGACCCGATCGCTGGGGCAATACTTCCATTCGCCTGAGATTTCGAGATCCGCCACGGATTCACCATCAGAGACATAAGCAGAAACCGACAGCATAGAACCCGTGTGCTG